CCTAAACCCTAAACCGTTTGAAACCATGGGGCCTACTAAATTATAAACAATAAACCCTTAGGAATAATAAACCCTAAACCCTAACCCGTGTCAGCTGCTAAGTGGCTGCTACAAGTTAGGGTTTAGGCTTTAGGGTTTAGGGTTTAGGGTTTGCAGAAGCGGGGATGTCTGCGGGTTTGCAGGTGACGGTAATTGTTGTCTGGGTGGCGCGATAGCAGCACTCACTGCTGCTGCTGCTGCTGTTGCTGCTGCTGCTGCTGCTGCTGGATGCAGCAGGAGCAGCAAAAGAAAAACAGTACTAGCAGCAACAACAGCAGCAGCAACAAGATGCAGTGATTTAGGCGGAGAGCTTCGGCGGCAACCGAAGCTGCTGAGCCATAGGGAATGGGGGGTTAGGGTTTAGGGTTTAGGGTTTGGGGTGTACGGTGAGGTAGGCGAGGGCTGCTGCTGCTGCACCCCACAGGTCTGCCTTGACGAGTTGGCCGTCTAGCAGCAAATGCTGCAGCAGCAGCAGCAGCGGCAGCGTTCTGTTGCTGCAGCAAAACAACCCTAGAATATCTGAGTCCCCTGTGGGGTTTATATAACTCCATAGAAACAAAACAAAAGAAAAAAAGCATTGCTGCTGCTGCGCTGCTGGCAGCAAACCTAGCCCTGTTAAGGTGTACGTACACCCTGCGCCTAACCCCAACAAATTTATAAAACGCTTCGTACCGCTGTTGCTGCTGCTGCTGCTGCTGTTGTTGTTGTTGCTGCTGCTGCTGAGGTCACGTTGGCCCCTCTTTTCGCTCTCGCTGCTGCTGCTGAGGTCAGGTTGGCCCCTCTTTTCGCTCTCGCTGCTGCTGCTGCTGCTGCTGCCGTTGCTGCTGCTGCTGCTGCTGCTGCTGTTGCTCCTGCTGCTGCAGTATCTCTCTAGCAGCGGAAAGTAGGTGTAAGCAAAAGAGAGAGACAGAGCAGCAGAAAGAGACAGTTCGCCAACGAAGAAGAGAGGAGACAAGAACCTCCAGAGCTGTTTTTCTTTTGTTGCTTTAGTTAAATTAAAGTAAAATAAAGAAGCAGGTAAAGGACAGCCTGCTGCTGCTGCTGCTGTTGCTGCTGCACAGCTGCATGCACATAGCAGCAAATACATACGACTCACGGGGGGGAGACTCAACACCCACTGACGCCAGAAAGCAGCAGCAGCAGACTCGAAATGCGGCCTGCTGCTGCTGCTGCTGCTGCTGCTGAAGCCAAGGAGACGCAGCAGCTCTTCCCTGCCGTGCTGCAGCACCCCCCGCCTCCTCTTGCTGCTGCTGCTGCTGCTGTCTGCTGCTTCAAACTGCAGATCATCAAACCCCTGAAATGCAAACGGTGGGAGGCGACCGCGTCGAGTCAGAAAACTTTGCTGTCGCTGCTGCTGCTGCTGCTGCTGCTGTTGCTGCTGCTGCTGGCAGGTCGAGGGTCGCAGACAAGATTGTCTTAGACCTTTTGCAGCAGAAAGAAGAGAATAGTTGCTGCTGCTGTTGCTGCTGCTGCTGCTGCTGCTGCTGCCGCTGCCGCTTAGCACGATCTCGCGGCAGGCAGCATGCAACAGCTGCTGCTGATGCTGCTGCAGCAGCAGCAGCAGTAGCAGCAGCAGAGGAAGCAGCAGGGCCTGCTGCCTTGATCTAACCTTTAGCCCCCCCATCAATAACAGCTGCAGCGGCACCTACTGCGAAGCAAACATGCTGCTGAAGTTGCTGCAGCAGCAGCAGCAGCTGCTGCGTCTGCTGTTGCAGCAACAGCAGCAGCAGCTGCTGCTGCTGTTGCTGCTGCTGTCGTTGTCTTCGCGATAATGCTGCACGTAGAACTACTGCCACCTTTGCTGCTGCAAGTGCTGCCGACACAGTCTTGTCTTGTTGAGCAAAACCCTAAACCCTAAACCCTAAACCCTAAACCCTAAACCCTCACGAGTTATCCTCGTGGCAGTGATGTCTAGGAAGCGAAAGGACTCAATAGAAACCCTAAACCCTAAACCCTAAACCCTAGGCGAGACGAAGCACACAGGCAAGCTGCCAAACCCTAACATCGACCCCACAGGATCGGGCAGGGCGGCCTTCCACACTAAACCCCAAACCCTAAACCCTAAACCCTAAAATTGATGCCACTATTTAAGCTTTTTTAGGTTTAAAGATGAACGTTCGGTTGTTCGGTATTTGCGGTTTGACTAGGGTTTAGGGTTTAGGGTTTACTAGGGTTTAGACGCGCTGTCGGCGCAGCCAATCCAGCTGTGGTCCGCAGCCCCAAACCCTAAACCCTAAACCCTAAACCCTAAACCCTAAACCCTAAACACTAATTTTGCAACTGCTTGTTCTTTCCAGATATACAGAAAAACTCAAACCTCAACATCACAGCTAAACCCTAAACCCTCATCGTAAGCGGCTGGCCGCGTTCGACAGCTGTAGAGAAAAACCCCAGCTAAACCCTAAACCCTAAACCCTAAACCCTAAACCCTAAACCCCTAACCCATAGTAATCAGCTTTAGACGAAGCCCGCACCCAAACCCTAAACCCTAAACAAGGGCTGCATATAACTCTAAACCCTAAACCCTACCACTAAACCCTCAATCGCTGAGGCGCCCCTCAAACTGTACAGCGCCACCTTGCAATCAGCAGCAGCAACAGCAGCAGCTGCTGCGGCAACAGCAGCAGCAGCAATTGCTGCTGCAGCAAAGGCAGTATCATCAGCAGCAACCCCTGCTGCAGCAACAGCAGCAGCATCACCAGTAAGAGCTCCCCGCTGACAAGGGTTAAAGAAAACAAATTTGTTATAAAGAAAACAAGAAAAGCCTAACCCCTAGGGTTTAGGGTTTTAGGGTTTTACTATCGGATTAGGGTTTAAACCCAAGCAGTGAAACTGCAGGCCAACGGGTATAATAAACCCTAAACCCTAGAACCTAAACCCTAAATAAACCCTAAACCCTATCAAACGGGGGTTGCTTGTCGCTGCCGCTGACCACCCCTTGGTGCGCGAACCTTGCATTGCGAAGCTGCTAGGGTTTAGGGTTTAGGGTTTAGGGTTTAGAGTTCATCCTTGGCTGATGCCTTCGGCGGCACCCACTTCTTCGCTTCTTTGAGGGTTTTCAATTTCGGCAAATCAGAGACGGGGGCGCGCCCTGCAAGAAGCTGCTGCAGGAAGGAGTTGATGCTCTCCTGCAGCAGCAAAACCCTAAACCCTAAACCCTAAACCCTAAACCCTAAATCCTAACATAGTCTTTACAACCCCACAACAACACCCAAACCCTGCTCTTAGCGTCGTTCGTACCCCGTCTGCTACCCGTAAGGCAGACACCCCCCAACCCTAAACCCTAAACCCTAAACCCTAAACCCTAAACCCTTACCCGGGTGAAGTTGCCTCTATGAACTGAAAACTTTCCCCTCGCCAAATGCACGGCGACAACCGCCGGCCAACCGAAAGCCAAATGCAGCTGCTCCTCTAAATCGAAGTTATCACCGCCTGTACACCACAAACCCTAAACCCTAAACCCTAAACCCTAAACCCTAAACCCTAATTTTGTGCATAAACCCTGAGCCAAGAAAACCCAATTGCATGCGTGCGTTTCCCCTGTCGCGTTTTCTCCCGCTCGTTGCACGTCCCTCCCAGCCCCCCAAACCCTAAACCCTAAACCCTAAACCCTAAACCCTAAACCCTAAAGCCTAAAGCTTACCTTGGAGCCAAAGGAACTTGACAGGCACCGTTACAGAGGCCTTGACTACCTGGTTGAGGGTTTGTAAGTAATTTTTTCGCCCTTCTTCACCGCTGTCTAAAACATCAGGCAGAAAAGCTAAGATGCACAACGTCTCCCCGCACTCACTTCTAAACTGCTCTTCGTTCAGCAGCTGGTCTGCTTCTGCCTTTGCACTGAACACAAACCACAAACCCTAAACCCTAAACCCTAAACTCTAGGGGCAAAAACCCTAGACAATAAACCCTAAACCCTAAAACACCAAACCACAGCCGTCCGACCGACCCAAGTTATGAGGGGCCTTGCAGCCTTTCCTAGCATTCCACGCCCCACCTAAACCCTAAACCCTAAACCCTAAACCCTAAACCCTAAACCCTAAGCCCTAAACCCTCACCCATAGAACTCCATAGCGAACTTAACGATTTCATCGGCTGTCCGCTGGCCTTCGTAATCTTTCACCATTGCAGTTGACTTCGGGCCCGCAGGGAAAAGTTTCAAGGTAGGGAAAGCCTGAACCCAAACCCTAAACCCTAAACCCTAAACCCTAAACCCTAAACCATAGCTATTATATATGTCTAGGCTGGCGGGTATTTTAGAGGTGTGTCGGTTTGTTTGTTTCGCGCTGAATGGTTTATTGTTCGGTGTTTGCATGTTGTGGTTTCCGGGCTCATTAGGGTTTAGGGTTTAGGGTTTAGGGTTTGGACCTGAATGCCGAACTTGGAAGCCAGCATCTGCTCGCTCGTGCTGTCGACCTTAGCTACTTTTACTTTGCCTTTCAGCTGTACAGACACCTCATCCCATATGGGGGCTAAGGCTTTGCAGTGTCCGCACCAAGGGGCATAGAACTCCACGAACCTGCTCGCAAACCCTAAACCCTAAACCCTAAACCCTAAACCCTAGGGAGCGCTCGAGATGGAGCAGCGCGACCGAACTACACAAAATGCATACATAGAATTTATAGTTCAATTCAATAGTACAATTTAGCCCTAAACCCTAAACCCTAAACCCTAAACCCTAAACCCTAAACCCTACCAAACGTTGTCTTCGTCCTGCATAACCATCTTCTCAAAGTTGGTGTCTTTCAGCTCAATTACCTCCGAAGGGCCGCTGCTCTTAGGCTTGCTGCTGCTGCTGCTGCTGCTGCTGCTCTTGCTGCTGCTCTTCCCGCTGCCTGAATCGATCTTTCCTGCGCATCCAAAACCCTAAACCCTAAACCCTAAACCCTAAACCCTAGAAGTTGATTATGGCACCCAAGAAAGGCAGAAGAAGCGTATTTCTGCTGCAAGCAGCATGAAGAGTTCGCGTTCCGGGTTAGGGTTTAAGGCTGCGCATTAGGGTTTAGGGTTTAGGGCTGCTCATTAGGGTTTAGGGTTTAGGGTTTACCTGCTAGTCTTGCTCTCGCTAACTTGCCGATGTGCATCACAGTAAACTCCAACACAGAACTCGCGTCTCTATTACCTTCATATTTAAACGTCTTGGGCTTACTTCCTCCTAAACCCAACAAACCCTAAACCCTAAACCCTAAACCCTAAACCCGAAACCCTTAAGGCCCAAAGGCATCCCTGAATCGAGTATCTCCCATGCGCCTCATTAAAACCGTGTGGCTAATTAAATAGGGTTTAGGGTTCGTCTGCGCGGTGGTTTAGGAGTTGCTTGCTTGAGGGTTCAGCTAGGGTTTAGGGTTTAGGGTTATATATATATATATACTCTTTGCCTGAGGGTTTAGGGTTTGCTACATCAAGGGTTTAGGTAGTAGGGTTTGTTCGCTGGAGTGTGTTTGGTTGAGAAAGAGTTGTCTGCCTGAGGGTTTAGGGTTTAGGGTTTACCTCTGCCGACCACAATCATTACAGTCGGAAACCCTGAAACCCCGAACTCCTGCATTAGGGTTTCATCATTAACAGCAACAACATCAGCTAAACCCCTCAACGCCTTTGCTGCTTTTTCAAACTCAGGTGCAAACCGCTGGCAGTGCCCACACCTGCACGCAAACCCTAAACCCTAAACCCTAAACCCTAAACCCTAAACCCTAAACCCTGGGCGGTGGGGTAGCACACGTGCTTGGACATATAGATGCAAATTAACGAAGTTCAGGCTCTTTTTAATGAAACCCCAAAACCCCAGACACGTTCGTGCTATTCATACCCATTGAGGGTTTAGGGTTTAGGGTTTAGGGTTTAGGCGTACCAGTCTGCATAGAACTCCACCA